TTAAAAAAAGAAGACTAAAAAAAAAAGAAACATTATTCTTAGTACATATGAAATAATTCAACAGCTCTTCAATTTCAAGCTGTATTTTACTATCTTAAATATTGTACAGCACACTGTATGGGCGATATGATGCTTCACTGTGAAATGGAGTGGTGACTCTTGACAGAGTAGTCATTATCAGGAGATAATTGACCTTATTTGAGAGCTAAGCATCCCGAGGCAAAGTTGAGTGTACTTAATCCTGGCAGGTTAATTATCTACTGATTAGGGAACCTTAAAAGGTATTACTCTTAAGAACCATTTTCAAAATGACTCTATTCAAAAATTTAATTTAATAATAAAGAAAAACAAGAACAATCAAGTTCTTTAATCATGTACAAGGAAACAATGACTACAAAGCAGCTAACATGAACCGGCATCAATAGATATTATTTATAATTATCTACATGTAGAATGCCCTCCTATATTAAATTGGCTGCATGTGAATTTAGTGAAAAAATGATAGTGCGGAAGGAAACTTTAAAGATGTTAAAATATATTTAAAAATATTTAAAGAGTTTATATACTACAGAACTATTTTAGTTTTGAAATGTGATATATTTTTATGATTTATTAATGACTGACTAAGGCTACAGGAAGCAAAGCTAGCCACAAGCCATAGAGCCAGGTAATTGTGATACACACTTTTAATTCTAGCAGCCACACTAGCTAGCCATACAGCCTGGCAGTGGTGGCACACATATTTAATCCCAGGACTCAAGAGACAGGCACATGGATCTCTGTTAGTTCAAGGCCACACTGAGCTACATGAAATTAATCCAGTCCTAAGGAGAAACAGAGATCACAAAGATGACCTCAGCACTTGGGATCACACACCTTTAATCCCAGTACTAGGGAGGTATAAAAGGAATCTCATGGGAGATTTATTCTCCAACCACACTGAGGAGAGGTCAGCCCTTTCAGTCTGAGGTAAAGGCAGAGGTAATGGCTGGTTGCTTTGCCTCTCAGATCTTTCAGTCTCTGAGTTTTTATTATTCATATTACATTTCATTTAAAAGCAGAAAATACAATCTAACAGGATTACAAAAGATTTTGTTTATTTAATTATTCACTCACATTTATTTTTTGCTTATTTTGGAAGGCAGGTTCTTTGATCTATAGCTTAAGCTGGCCTTGAACTCATGGCAATCCTCCTGTCCCAGCCTCATGAGATATCACACTGGCTTACTAAGTGAGGAAAGAGAAACATGTCTCTGTGCACTTCTAAATCTCTGAGAAAGGGCTGCAGGACAGACAAGTGTGGACTACTTGCCTGGACCACGTAAGACACTGTTTGACTCCTGGTCAAAAGCTCTGTGTCTTAGGGAAGACACAGAGAAAGAGAAAGGCTAGTCAACTTTAGAAAACAATACATTTTTAAGACATGCCATAACATGATCAAACTTGGAAAACATGGGGAATAAGAGACATCAGATAGTTATTAAATGAAGCTAATTTTATGAGGTACTTAGGATGTGCACTCATAATGACATGTAAAAAAGTGACTACTAAGGGCCAGGAAGACAGAAAATGGGTGGAGTTATTATTTAACATGCATCGAGCTTCTGCTTGGGGTGAGGAAAAGTCCTGCAAATGAACTGTGGGATGGGTTGTGCAGCATTGAAGATACCAGTGTGCTGCATGCTTGAAAACGGTTGGAATATAAGCTCTGCTTCTTCCTGACTTCTCTCCTGTGTTCTCTGCCTTTTCAGATGGGCAGGCATACAGCCTAGGCTGACCTTGAATTGCTGATCTTGTGTCCATCTCCCAAGTACCTGATTGGTTTCTGTGAGGTTTCTGTAACCAGGCAAGTATTATACCATCTGAGCTGCATTCTGAGTCCCTGTGAAGTATTTCTTAATGCAATACAATAAGAAAGGAAATCTCATGGCTTAGTAACTCTGTTTACATCAGTGGTTCTCAACCTGTGGGCCATGACCCCTCTGCCAAACCTCTATCTCCAAAACCACCTACAATTCTTAAAGGTAGCAAAATTAGTTATGAATTAGCAACAAAATAATTTTTTGGTCAGAGTCACCACATGAGGTAGCAAGGAAATAATTTTATGGTTGGGGGTCACCACTGTATTAAAGGGAGTCCGTGATGGGAAGGGTGAGAACTCTGTAAGCACTAAGTGGGTAGTCACTGCATATGCTTTTATCTACTCATCTTGAGACAGTTTTGTTGCATGGTCCAGGCTTGCTTCTGCCTCATAAGCACTTGTTTGTAGTCATGCACTACTATGCCCAGCTTGTTGAAGTGTGTTATTTTTAACTGAGACTACTGGAAAATCATCAATGCTAGTGTTCAAACTTCCCCAGAATAGGAAAGTGACAAGTAGAAAATAAAAGCTAAAAAAGTTCAATGTTAGCTAAGTACTGACATTTTAGAAAAATCAAATATTAAGCAGATATTTTGGGGGGCTAGAGAGGCAAAAGAGGAAAAAAATAATCATGCAAATATATATACACATACATTTCTTGTGAAATATATTTTAGATTGCAGTGCATCTTTACAACAAAAATTCCTGTTTTCTTTTATAACTAAAGATAACTTATTATATTACTAAAGTATTTAAGAATAATGGGTAATATGCTCAAAAGGTAAAACATTATTAAACTGCAAGACCTTAGCTTATATTTCTAGCCCATTAACACTGAAAGCATCTGATTCCGACATCCAGCTTACTTGGTTATCATAAGGTGTTGCATTATTTGACTTTGTCTTATATGTAAATGCAGCTTCATTCAGTCACATTTTAAAGAGCATGATAACCACTGCACACCGCACTAGGAACCTGTTTACCATCAGAAGACCTTTAGAGTCGGCTTCAATAAAATAATCAAACACATCTAGTCATCCTCTAGCCATCTTCATTTTATAACCCACGTCATGACAGATTTTACATAGGACAACTCCTGGAAGTACTCAGTTCTCTTTCTACCTTGAGGGTTTGGGGCATCACACTCAGGTCATTAGGTTTGGTGGCAAGCACCTGCACCCATGGAGCCATTTCCCCACCCCCACTTCTTCCCTTTTATGTATTTACAAGTCAAGCGTCTACTAAAGAGTTGTCTGTGTGATCTTAAGTTTTTTCAAAGGTTCCATCTTTACTCTCTTCCTAATTAAGGTCACTCATGACTATCAAGTCCCACTTGCAAATCTGACAGCATTCAATTCTCTCAATCTACTTCTCAAGCCTCACTTGTTGGAATCATACTTCTCTCTTAAACAGTGCTTGTAGTTTGTCTTCTTAGAGTCTAGAGCACTTACGTACTCCCAGTCTAATCTTCCCAGACGTTAAAGGGTGAATGTCAATTTCCCCACAGTGACTCTCAGAATGCTATCATAGTGACATATTCCTTTATGTTATTTAAAGGGCTAAAACAGCACACCTCCCACTCATTACATTGACTTTTTAGGAAACAACATGAGGGCTAGAGAGTTGGCTCAGTGGTTAAGAGCACTGGCTGCTCTTCCAGAGGACCTGAGTTCAATTACCCAGCACCTGAATGGCAGCTCATAACCTGTAACTACAATCCCAGGGGATTCAAACTCTAAGCACACATATGGTGCACAGTCATACATAGAGGCAAAAATATACACATAAAATATGAATGAAAATTTAAAACTGCATTGTATAAACATACCACACCAGCCATGTAAGAAAAAGGCAGGTCTTAGTCTACTGAAACTCCAGCAGCTCTCTATCAAGTGTTTCACCTCTATCTCTTATCACTGTGTCAGTGTTTCAATATGAAATGTCCCCCACAGGCTCATGCATTTGGATGTTTGGTCCTTTGGTGGAGCCTTTACGAGAGGAGACTGAGCTGGAGGAACTGGGAGCTAAGGTCTATAACTTGGCCCACTGCTGTTCTGTTTCTTAATCTTGTGAGATGTGGAGTCCCGCTCACATATGCTCCCATAGCCATAAGCTCTGCCAAGCCTCCCTGCCAGGATAGACGTGATCCACTACCCAGTTGAGATACAGCTTCCCACACTTAAGTTGTTTCCTGTCTGGTATTTGGTTGCAGCATAGGAATGTAACTAACGTAGTTAATGTGTAAAGAAGGTAACATTTCCTTTCAATGGTGCTAGTCTTTGTATGCTCACACATTTGATATTCTTTCTACAGATCAATCCTTCAGTTTTCACTCAGGTAACATCTCAAATTACTTCCAGGTCAGTTTTTAAGTTTCTTTAGATAGACCGCATACTTACCTTACTGATATATAAAATAAATTAATATACTCAAATATTAGGACCAGAGAATTAGAAACAGAATCGGTTTACAGGGTGATCAATGTCATCTTACACACAAAACTTCCAATATTCATAAAAGTTCATTGATATGGCTAACATCACATGAAGGCTCAGTCAAAACCTTCTCTAGTCTATTTTATTGATTTTTAAAGTTTCCCTTGACTTTTAATTAGAGAAAATACATCATTGGTTAAAAGAAGAAGCTGTAATACTTCAAGTAAAATTATACAAGTATTTCTAGAATAATCCCAGTAATAAATAAAATATAAATTGCAGTATCAGTATTTCCTTATAATAATTAACTTTAAAGAAGATTTTGAAAGTGAGAAAAGTCTTTAAAAAGAATTTTGGTTGTGGTCATAGTTATAGGTCATACATGCATTTGCCGAAGTATAGGAATTTAGAGGAAGAAGGGTGAATTTACTATATGTATACTAAATCCAAATGAATTGATCTTTTAAAAATTTATTTTTTACTAAGAAGTTATTCTGTAAGAAATACAGAAAATACAGTGGTAGAGAAAACATACGCAAAGCCCAGAAACAGACGATTACTTAATTGTTTTGTTTTTTAGAGACAATCCCTGCCTTTGCTTCCTGAATGTTGGGATTAAAGGCACACACTACCATACCTGGCTTTAGTTTATTTTTTTTTTTTGTTTTGCTGTTTTTTGTTTTATTTTTTTAAAAGCAACTCACCGTCTCATTTCCAAAGAGGATGTCAACATAAGGCATGACTTCCATCAAGGATTCCTTGAAGAACTGGCTAATAAACGGTGCAGACAAGTTCAAAGTGAAGATCCTGTTGTTCTCAGCAGCATAGCGAGCAACTTTCAATACTGACTCTGGGGAGACAGTAAGAAAAAAGCCCTGGACAAAGGAAAACAGGAGAGACAATTAGAATCAACACCTCCACAGAGTTAGGCTAAGTGGCTAATAAAAGGAATCTATACAAAATATCAATGCCTGTGCAAATTTAATTATAAAGTCCAAGGCAGAAAATGGTTGTATTTAGCTTGAAAAAAGGTTATCATGTGAGTGCTATATGCTTGATACACACCGTTACTAAAGACAAGAAACATTATCTATTTCCTATTAGATTACAAATGTGCACTTCCCAAAGAATTCTTGGAACCTATGAAACAAAAACATACCCTAGAAGATAATAAGTATGTTTGAATTTGAGAAATACAAATGTAGGCAGATCAAATCCTTCTAGTTTCTTATAACCTGTCAGCATCTTGTCAGTAATTTAAAAATGGTTATAAAGAGTATATCCAACTTATTATCTTAAAAAAATCATAACTTAATTTATTTCATTTCATTTTAGAGCCTCGAGAACGCATTCCCTTTGTTAACCAAGGCTGGACTGGAGAGTTCTAGGAGTCTAGAGATTATAAACAAGTGTCATAATATTTGGATTTTTTTTTTTTTTGAAACAATGTTTCTCTGTGTAACAGCCTTAACTGTCTTGAACTTGCTTTGTAGACCAGGCTGGCCTCGAACTCACAGAGATCCACCTGCCTCTGCCTCTTGGGTGCTGGGATTAAAGGCATGTGCCACCACTGTCCAGATAATACCTGGATTTTTAAAATTATTTTGTAGTTAAAATTTTCAAATAATAAGAAAATAATTCAAGACTATAAATGAAAAATTTTAAAATTAGTTTCATACCAGGAAAGCTATATTTTAAATATATATATGTAGTTTTTTTGAGACAGTGTCTGTAATTTCTTATGATAAAAAATTTTCTTAGCTTATATTAATGCCTTCTAGGTAAAGATAAGGGTAAATTTGAAGATAAGTGGTAAGGAAGAACCTAAAACACAAACACAGAAGATGAAGTTGTGTTAATACAAAGTGAGTTAATAGAGTCAAGATGGAGTTGTGTAATGAGTTTTCATCATAAGAAAGGAATATGGTTAGAGAAAAAGGCAAGAAAGGTAAATTGGATAGCAAAAATTTCCTAAAAACTAATAACACACTGTATTTGGCTATGTAAAAGGAAGCCACACTGGAGTGTGGGGCCTATAGACTGTTTAAGATGTAAAAGGCAAAGAGTAGAATTCAAAAATGATATTCAAATACTTTTAAAAATTTGGTCTTATTATTAAGAGGAAAACTCCAGAATAAGACCAGGGTCACATTGTAAACAGACTATTCAGGTGTGGCCATCTACTCAAAATCTCTATAAAAAAGTCCAACTCATGAGAAATGTGTTAGAAGAAGGTTGTGGCTCTAATTACCAAGGAAGGGAATATGGACCAATAAAAGAAAAGATGACACAGACAGAAAAGGATAGAACAAAGGAAAGCTATCAAGGAGAATGGCAGAGAAATATGGCTGGGAATTTAAGAAGGTGCTTATGTGTTCAAGGTTACAGGGAGGCAGAGATGGAGGCACTGAGCAGAAACATACCTGATAACTAGAATAAACTACACAGTGCTTGAAGGACTGGGGAGACTGAGCGTAAGGAATATAAATCAAGCCAGGAGTTATGCTGATAGAACCATCTGAAATATACTGATTAGTTCTGGTGTACCAGGCACTGAACTAAAAACTTACAAATCAGCAATTATTATGAAACCTGTGGAGGAATACTATTTATTGCCCTCATTTTATAAATAATTCTGAAATCAAAACAGGGAAATATCTTCTAGATTATATAGCTTTACATGTGATGAGCCTGGATTAAAATGATTCCTAATAAAATATCCCCCGAGAGTAGGAGAAAGATTTTCTTTTGGTAAGAGTGGAGATGAGAGGATAGTTCTTTTTGGAGGTTTGCTTGTTTGAGACGGGGTCTGCCATACAGCTCAGGCTAGCCTTGAACTCCGGATCCAGTAGTCTCCTCCTCTTAGTGGCTGGACAATAGGCACAAGGCACTATATCTAGTTTCAGGACAGTTCTTAAGGATAATTGCATTTTGAACATTTCTGCTTTTCTTTTTTTTTGGTTTTTCGAGACAGGGTTCCTCTGTGTAGCCCTGGCTGTCCTGTAGACTAGGCTTGGCTCAAACTCAGAGATGCATCTGCCCCTGCCTCCAGAATGCTGGGTGGGATTAAAGGCGTGTGGCACCACCACCCAGTACATCATTTCTGCTTTTCAAAGAAAAAATTGAAGAAAGAGAAGGAAGAACTAAGGGAGGATAATTAGAACAACAACAACAACAACAAAGATGAAGGGGAGTCATTTTAAACTAGTCAGAAAGAAGAAAAAATGATGGCAATATGCAAGAAATGTCTTTAAAAGGTTGTGAAAATGGCCAGGTATGATCTTGCACACCTGTATTTCCAGCACTTGGTAGGCTGAGACTGGAAGGTTGCAGGGTTCAAAGCTAGCCTAGGCAATGTAAGTAAGACCTTATTTATCTCAACAAACAAATCAAAGTTGCAAAGCGTTACAAAATATTGACTTGTAATTGAAGGCCTAATCACATTATATGAACATACAGAAGTAGAGAGAGAGAGAGAGAGAGAGAGAGAGAGAGAGAGATACCTTTTTCCCAATTAGTTTCAAATTTCAAGTTAAATATAATATAGAGATCTATCTTTTGCACCTCTAGGTCCAATGGAACAACAAGGACATCTGTTCAACCATGTTCATAGCAGCATTATTTGTAATAGCCAGAAACTGGAAGCAGCCTAGATGCCCCTCAACCAAAGAATGGATATAGAAAATGTGGTACATTTACACAATGGAGTACTACTCAGCAGAAAAAAACAATGGAATCTTGAAATTTTCAGGAAAATGGATGGAACTCAAAGAAACCATTCTGAGCGAGATAATTCTAACTTACCATGTTTGGGCACTCACTAATGTTGCACCTATAGTCTAGGTATTTCCAAATGTTTGCTGGACTTTTAAATGGTTATCACAGACTCTGTCTAACATCAGTTTAGAAGTAAGATGCACCTTAGGTCTATCTTCCACATAGAAACTTCCTGCTCTGCCCCTCAGCATGCTGTTTTCTGGGATTTTCTTTTTTACTTTTTTGTTGTTGTTGTTGTTGATTGTTTTTTTTGTTTTTGTGAATCCAAGGTGTTTCAGTGAGTGCTCATCTGTGCATGCAAATTTGATTTAATCTTTAGTAGGTAGTAAAGTTATATGCTTGCCTAAAAAAAAAAAATAAGTGACACACTGGAAGACAAATGTCACACAATTTCAATTTTATGTGTAACCTAGAAATGATGAACTTATGGGAGCAGAGAGCAGAATTGTGGCTATCAGGCGTCAATGTGGGTCTTTTAACAATGGGGAAATGATTGGTTTAAGGATATAAAACTGCAGTTGGACAAGAGGCATGTACTCTGTGATGTCTTGAGGTCTACTGAGAGCATGATAAATATGGCTGATAACAATATGCTATACTTTAAAAGTTGTGAGATAGTATACTTTAAGTGTTCTCAAAACAAAAATGATGAATATGTGTGATATAACATGTTAATTGGTTTAATTTAGCCATGCCATTGTGAACATACTGTATTATGTATCATAATTGTGCATGACTTTACTTATGAGCTAAATAAATGAATGGAAAAAAAAGGATCTATCTTTGAAGGGGGTTTTACTGCCCTTATGCATTCTGAAAAATTAAGATACACCTTTAAGCTGTAATTGTGTTGAAGTTCAGAACACGGTACATGTTCTAGACATGGCACCTTGAAAGTTGGAGAAAACTGCAGAAGATACTTCTGTGTGAGAGTTCCCATTTCACATAAAAGTAGGCGACAGGACTCTTATTCCAGGGTCCTGTCCCATTCCTGGAGAACAAGAAGAATCTGAAAAGACTAGGCCTATTGGATGCTATTTCCTCATGTGCCACTTCTTACCATTAGATATTATATCATATCCCCTTTGCCCAGTCTTGATTCTTTTAAAAATTATTTCTTCAGAATTTTACGTAAAATACTTTCCCCAAAGTCGTGAGACTTCACTTCTAAATGCTCCTGTGTCACATGAAATTGTCAAATAGATTCATTGTGATTTTCTCTTGTGTCATATGTCGGCCATGAGCCTTGCAATGGCAATCTGTCACAAATGATGCTTCTTAATACAATAACATAATGTTTTCTCATTTAGAAACTCTATGCCGAGTTGGGCAGCAGTGCTTTAATCTTAGCATGCTGGAGGCAGAGTCAGGCGGATCTCTGTGCCAGCCCTGGCTACAGAATGAGTTCTAGAATACCCCAGGACTACACACTGAAACCCTGTCTTAAAAAAGTCAAAACAAAATTATTAAAGGATAGGCTCACAACCAAACATATTAAAAACTCCATGCCAATAATTCTTCAATTATTCTAAAAGGTAATGTTTTAAACAACATTTAAAAAATGTTTGCAACCTTTTTTCTTTAGAAACATGTCTCTTGAAAACTATGAGCATCTGAGATGTGTTCTTTGCTATTTCTGTCACTAAGAGAATTAAATGGAGCACTTTCTACAGCATCTGTCTCTGTGGCAGTGTGTATGGACTTGTTGTTTTAGTCTTTTATTTAATGAGCAGAGTTTAAAGCTTCCCCCCTCTTACTTTTCTCCAAACTGTTACAGCATGAAATAGAAACCTCCCAGAGCTAGCATTCTGCCAGCTGTGGATTAACCACAGACAGCCACAGGATGGTCTATATAAATAGTAACCTGGTCAAATAATTAGGCTTCTCACCAACTTCAGACTGAAAATTTGATCTCTACTCAAATACATATGATTGTAATTTAAGACACAGAACAGTGTGCCTCTAGAGTCTAAATTTGGCCTGATTCCAAATATATGTATGTTGTATGTGTTTTACTTTAAAACATAATAGTAATGTGGATAGTATATATATTTGATTTTTGTTAATTTTATAAAGAAAAGGCAAAAACATTAGCTTC